TGGTCATATTGTCCACCAGATACCTGTATGAGTTATAACTGTTCCAGACAGTTTCACATACCTCTGGTCATATTGTCCACCAGATACCTGTATGAGTTGTAACTGTTCCAGACAGTTTCACATATCTCTGGTCATATTGTCCACCACATACCTTTATGAGTTATAACTGTTCCAGGCTGTTGGTCAGGTCAACAAGCAGAAGGACAGTGTCCAGTTCACCAAACTGATGGGACTGGACGTCCCAGTTGATGAACTGGCCGCGGTCGTGGAGGTAGAGAGGTCAGCCAAGGTCAAGCCGGTGGTCAAACCAAAAGCAAGGGCCAAGGTCAGTTTACAAGCTTTGAAATTAGCTGAGTGAAATGCAACAACTGGGTTTATTCTAGTCGTATGTGGATTTTTGAAACACATCAAAGATAAATGACGTGACGAAATAGGTTAAAACCTAATTATTCATTTACAAGTTTAAATATGGTTAAATAAAGTTGTATGGCGTCTCAGAGATTAAACATGTTTCTTATCTGTGAGGCCTGATGTTTCGATGTTTCTTGGAAGGTTGTTCAAGACGTGATTATGCCGTTTTGTTTTAGAGTCAAAATTACATGCCTCATGGGTAAAAAAAAGGGGAAAAAGGATTCAGTCTCTGTAAGACATTTAACTTTTTTACCACAGTTATAACCTTCTAGAACATAAATATCCATAACTGTCAATCTGTTACTATTCTTCTCAGTTGAAATTTTTTAATTTCTTCCCACAGTTTCGAGAGCCAGACATCATGGACTTCTTCACTCCGGACCTGCAACGAGAGAGCGTCAGTTTTTCCACCAGGTCCGTGCCGCTGTCCAAACCCAAACTGAGGACAGCGGACCCTGGACACGCCTTCGACTTGTTCTTACATATCAGCTCTTGGGAAGACTGATGTCCAACACGGACCATATAGAACTGTCTCAGGAAGAGACTTAAGTCAGTTTCTGGGATAATACTCAAGCCAACTTAGAATTAACTGACTAATTCAGTTTCTAGGCTAAAATTGTAGCCAATTTGGAATTAGCTGTTTAAGTTTTGTCACACAAATGATCTAAAAAGGATGTCCCGTGGAATTTGTTTCCTTTTTCTTTATGAAACAAGCACCAGGAGTATAAACACGTTTTGTGATGAATATGGTATTAAAGGGGATGCCAAATGCTGAATTAGTGAATTAATGCCATGTAAACAGAAAGCTCCTTACTTGGGTTCAGAATTTATTAGTGAGTGCATGTAGATTACAGAATCTGACTTGATTCATGTGAAGGTTGGGTTTCCATGCTTTTGAATTTTGCAAGTATTTGGTGGCTTGTATTTATCATTGTAAATAATATATGTAAATTTTGTACAATGATGCTAAATATTACTCTAGTATGTAAATTTGCTAATGTATACAGAAAAGGGCGATTGACGAGGTTGAAGTAAAATAATTTTATAAACAGTAAAATTTGTTTTGTCTTTGTTGAAATTAATTAAAATGAAGTTGTGTCAGTTATGAAAAGAAATATGAAGATAAGCAAATTTTACTCCATTTTAACATTATGATAATGAGCCAGTAAATATATGTTAATGGTCTCTTTTATTCACAGGAAAGACTTACATTTTATCCTAAATAAGGTAATGGACATCACTGATGTCAGTAAATTAAGCAGTCATAAGCCGACTGCAAGGGTACATATAAAATGGTCCTTCAACGTGATAATAGCATTTAGACTTGCATCTTTGCCACATTTGATTAGATAATGACCTCTGAATATCTAGTTCAACTGGTTTACCCTTTCTCACTGAATAAGTCATACAATATTAACAAGTAAAATCTTTATGTTACCTAAACAACCCATGAACTGCACTTGATAAGATGGGGCCAGTTTCAAAAGAGAGCCTTAGTCTAAAATTTATCCAAACTTTCAGACCAAGCATTTGGCCTGCTTCAGTTCAAGATATGTAAACATGCGGCTAGTTTTACAAAATTTGTCCAAAGTAAGCCAGACATTTGGCCTGCTTCAGTGCAAAATAAACCTACACTAGTTCATTTAAACAGTAATCATTGGTCTTAAACAAGTTTTTCTTGTTATCAAACAGGCACAGTGTTTCTCTTTTTGGACTACAAGTGGTTGCTTTCATTGTTTTAAATTTTGGTCACAGTTTATTAGGGTTCGAGACCCTATGGAAACTGGTCCCCCAGAACAACCAAACAACAATCCTAGCTAGCATACACGTACAATGAAAAAGATGGATACATTGAAAAAGAATCAAAAACCAGTTATAATATAATTCTTTTACTTGTGGCCTTATGTGGATGGCATAATATCCAAGTTTAACCGTGACATATCCTATGTTAAAAACAACCACTATCTCCTATCGCATTTGGTATATTCAATATTGCATAATAATTTTCTTCAGGTCCACCAGGTGGTGCTGAAATCACCAGTCAGCTGTGTGAACTTGTTTTTTGTGAGAGATTTATTTTTCCCTTTTCTTTTAAATTATTATGAGTTGTCATTGTGTGTTCAATAATATACATCATATCCACCAGGATCCATTGAATTAGAAACAAAACAGCTGTATAAATATGTTTGGCATTAGATTTTCTTTCTTTTCTTCCTCTTTTCTTCTCTCATTATTATGTGCTTACAGTGTATTCATTCACTTCAATCAGATCCAATAGATGGCACTGTAATTAGCACCGAACCAGCTGTACCAACTTGCTTCCTGTCAAGTTTTTTTTTTCTGTTCTTTTTCTTTTTTTTTTGGTTTTCTTTTTTAATTGGCAAATGCAGCCAGTTTGTGTTCATTAATTGCAGTCCCAGTCACCAGATGGCGATGTACGTTGCACTAAATGTCGCCCTAGCTACATTTCTTGTGGCATGGCTGTTATCTGAAATAAGAAACATATGCGCCGTGTAGTCTACTCATCAATTAAAACTCTTATATAATGTTTTTTATTATAAGAATAGCTAAATGTGGAGATGATCCAACTGTGTTGTCAGCTCAGCAAAGAAATACATGAAAAATTGTGTCTTATTTGCAAAATGACAGCAAATGTGGATGTATATCGCATCTTAAACCCATCCATGTTTAGTTGCAAGAAATATTACAGTATTATTTTAATATTATTATCATATTTTTTGACAGAGACTTCCATTAGTGCATGTGACTGCATATTTTGTGTGTGGGAATAAAGTCATGAGAGAGAGATTAAATTATCTGGTCTTATGATAAAAAAAGCAGTTTTCAAACACTATTCCCTCATTTAACAATGACGTATTCCTTAGAATTTTCCACCAACATTCCAACAGATTTTTATTGGCATTTCTTATAAACCTTTTATCCACAAGTCAACATGAAATACATTGGTTTAACTATGATAAAGTTGAGCAGGGCAGGAGTTTGAACTACTAGACTTTTATCCCTGACATAAACAGCCAAAACTTTTTTTTTTTTACTTTTGAATAAAAGGCTGAGACCAGCATTTGGTCATTTCGTCCCATAAAGTTGGTCTCAAGTTAACTTTAAAAAATATCCACATAGAGAAAGCTAGAGGATATCCAAATTTTTTGCTCAAATACTGATGAAAATACAAAACAAGGATGAATCACAAATAAAAATCTGTATTGGCTTTTCAAGCAAGAAAAGATTTAGACTAATGAAAATGACAA